CCTAGATCCCTTTCTGCCGAACTCCTTCCTAGACAGTCTCTTCCCAATCTGTAGTTTTGCAACTGATTATTCTTTCCTAAGTGGAGCACTTTGCATTTGTCTTTGTTAAACTTCATCCTGTTTACCTCAGACCATTTCTCCAATTTGTCCAGATCATTTTGAATTATGACCCTGTCCTCCAAAGCAGTTGCAATCCCTCCCAGTTTGGTATCATCCGCAAACTTAATAAGCGTACTTTCTATGCCAATATCCAAGTTGTTAATGAAGATATTGAACAGAACCGGTCCCAAAACAGACCCCTGTGGAATCCCACTTGTTATTCCTTTCCATTAGGATTGGGAGCCATTAATAACAACTCTCTGAGTACGGTTATCCAGCCAGTTATGCACCCACCTTATAGTAGCCCTATATCACTATATTGATCTCTTTGAAGTATATAGCAAATCACCTGCAAATGGTGGAAAATGGGCAATTGGCTTATGTTAATTGCCATGTAGCTAATTACTGGTGATGCTTAGGAAATAGGTCTACTTCAGAGTCTCATCTGTTAAAGGTGTCACAGGACTCTCTGTTGCTTTTTACAGATCCAGACTAACACGGCTACCCCTCTGATACTTCAGAGTCTCTATTACCTATTGTTCGCCTAAGGATTCTGAGCTGTCAAGAGAAGGCCTGGAACTGTATTTAAAAAAACAACAACCTTGGATCCTGATCCTTTTTATCTCTGATCTGCTTGATGCATTATGCAGGGGAAGCTTGAGTTGTAAGACTGAGATCTCCAGTCCTTCCTGGATATGAATATTGGACTATAACCTATAAACTAATTCTTTGCAACTATAGTGCTCACTATCTCTACTATGAAACTAATCAACTACACTTATGTCTGTATGTATACTGATCTTTTAACCAATACACTTTAAAAAAACACTTTAGTGTAAGAATTGGCTGTAAGCGTGTATGTAGGTAAGATCTGAAATCTTCATTAACCTGGGAGGTAATGCTTCCAATCCCAAGGGATTGGTAGAACTTTCTTATATGATTAAGATTTTCACTGATCCCCACCATATTTGACTTGGGTGTCTTGGTAGAAGCCCAAGGCTGGGTTGTTATAAGGGAACTGTGTTTTGGCTTCCGGGTAACCAGTACGGTATTACAGAAGTTGTTTTGGGCAGGCTTGGTAAATCTAAGTATTGGAATATCCACCAGCTTTGAGAATTATCTGCCCTAATTGAATAACCTCAGTGTGGCTCCCTGGGAATCCTGATCACAACTGTCAAGAGGTTTAAAGAGGAAAAAGGATTGGAACTCCAAGGCCTACAAACTTGTGCCATCGACCAGGAGGAGTGGTAAAGAATTGTGGGTAACTCTGATCCCATGTAAACCAGAAAAGGAGTTGAGAAGGGAAGTGAATTAAACAAACATTCCTAGACATTCAAAAGTGGGCCACATAGAAAATTCATAACGATTTCTTCTACCTTAAGGTAAGAGCTGATAGAGCTTTATAGGTATTAGACTCAATACTGCCCTTATTTACAGTGATATCTCCCATTTGATTTCAGTGGGCAGAAGAAGACAATGGTATACACATCATGCAGAGAATAGCCAATTTTTCCTTTGTATTCTCCTCACCCCAAGCTGACAGACAATATTAAATTCATTTTCACTACTGGCTGCAGTGACTACGGTATTAGCAGAGAAGCACAGGTCTTGAAAGGGTCAACCATTTTATCTTCAAAGTCTTCAGATAAGCCCAGAATGATCTAGTGTCAGGTAATGAAGTATTGTTTCAAACCCTATGTTAAAATACACAAAGTTTACTGGTTTCAGAGTGGTAGCCGAGTTAGTCTGTATGAGCAAAAACAAAGAGGAGTCCTTGTGGCACCTTAGAGACAAACACATTTATTTGGGCATAAGCTGTGGGTGGGTGGAGATTCTCGAGATAGAGAGAGAGAGAGATACACACTGCTTACTGTATTTTTCACTCCATGAATCTGATGAAGTGGGTTTTAGCCCCCGAAAGCTTATGCCCAAATAAATGTTAGTCTCTAAGATGCCACAAGGATTCCTCTTTGTTTTTACAAAGTTTACTGGGTATGAAAAACAGGTGCATGTAGTTTTGTGTGCCAAGTATGCCCTCTTGTGTAAGGAGTTAGAATAACAGACTTTTTTTACACTAGCAAAACTGAAGAATAAGTACAGTAGAACCTTAAAGAAAAGAACACCAGCATTATGCACTAACCTGTCAACTGGACACCATGTGAAACTGGAAGTAACCAATCAGGCAGCAGCAGAGGCCCACCCCCCAAAAAAATCCAACCAAGAACTGTGCCTGTATTGCATCTTAAAGGTAGGTACATCTGGGCTGTTGTCCCCACACACTTACAGCTAGGAAGTGAAGATATTGGGGCTGCCAGCCCAAGACTGCCAGAGCCAGCAGAGCAGGATCAGTGCCAAGGTCTGTGCTGCTTTCACCCCCTCTCCTCTGGCCAGAAAGTGGGGGATGTACTGTTTTTACCTCCCCACCTCCAGACAGAAGGGGGACAAGCTTGCAAGGAAGCTGCTAGCACTGAGGAGGGAGCTCAGAGCCTACTGGAGCCTGGCCTGGAGTGTCAGCTGCTGGAGCCCAAACTACACTTTGTTCAGAATTACAAACATTTCAGAGTTATGGACAACTTCCATTCTCAAGGGGTCTGTAACCCTGAGGTTTTACTGTACATAGTGTAGATTTAGTGACTCCATTGTCCATACTTTCATTCGTGGCTGAGACTCCCACTTTGAAAAAGGCAGGTCAAAGAACAATACCGTGCTGCAAAAAAGCCAATGATTATACTGTGGAAGAAACTGAAGGATATTCCTTGATTTACAGTGACTGAGGTGGCAGTTCTTCAGTTTGTTGATCTAAATGCTACTAACATAACCTCACCTTAAGCCAATGACACAATAAAATATAGCATTTTTGAGGGAGGAATTTTATCTGCTTTTGTTTCACTTGCATTTTACTAATCCTGCTAGTTTCTATAGTTAAGGATAAGAGAGGTAAAGATTAAATACGCTCTGGGTGAGATTCTAAGAGGCACAGCACAGAACTTGCAGCCCAGTTGCTCTAGGGGAGACAAAGGTGATTCTTTGTGCCCTCCCAAGCCCTTGAGGCCTGTGTAAGTTACACCAGCTTTCCAGTGCTGCCTTGGGGGGGGGTGGGGGGGGTCACAGCGCCACCCAGAATCTCCACAGTGCTGTGCACTGCAGCTCATTATGCCTTGTAGTTCATGTATGTGGTATTTTGAATTGATGGTGTTATCTGCTGTATGCAGATATTGTGAATCATAGTTTTGTCAGGCAATGTATCCAGAAAGGGGAGGTGTGGTTCTTGATAGTCACATCTTTCTGCAAATACTTTAAAGACAATGCAGAGCAATTTGCTTTGAAGCCCTGGCTCAGCCCCCCACTTGCTGGGCCTGCCAGACCAGTTCCAGCAGGAGGGATTCAGCCCCTTGGAGAGGGAAGGGGTCAAGCAACCTCAAAAGGGTTTAAACACATAGATACTCCTTTGAGGGGATCTGACAGTTAAGGGGGAGGATGATCCAGACATTATTGGGGAGCTAATTGACCCCTGGGCTCCAGAGGTCAGGGTAAGACAGGGCTATCTAAACCTTTAGGTAAGATAGATATGCACATAGATGATTTTTTAAAACAATAAACAGTCTCTCTCCTATCCTATGCTGCATTCCTACTGTTAAGATTAAATAATACTTTGTTTTATGGAGGCTGTGTGGGGTCACTATATTCACCACTGAAGAACAGCAGGTAGCCAAAACCCAGTTGGATCTACTGATCAGTCATGTTTGGTATCTAGGGCACTGTAGCCTACCACCTAGTCTGAGAGTGGAAGAATCAGGGAATTCCACCACAAGGAGGTTAAAGACTTGAGACCTAAGATATGGAGGGGGTGCACTAAAGAGTCCAGAAAAGGGGACAAACATAAAGCTTGCTCTGAACTGTGACACTCCCCTCCTGCTCCATGCCCCGCCCTGCCACCTACAGCAGGACTTAGGAGGGGATGCTTAGAAGTAGGAGTGTAAGTAGGGCAGTACCCTGTACCTGCAAGAGATTTCTAGTAGGTTGCAGTGGTGGTGGGTGGGGGG